CCAAAAATTCATGGTGAAGACTCAAACATAAGCTTCGGAGAAATTCTGCAGAAAGTAGTTAACTTTCGATTTGTGTCGGAGCTAGCGTAACTTCATGTGATATCAAAATGCAGGTATGGCAAACAAGTTGTTGCCGATGAGTTAAACTCCCTTTATGGGGAATCCCGTGCTGGAGGCTTTGGTTCTGAGGTACCAAGGAACAGAAGTTTTCTTTGTAAAGTAGCTTTCTAATGGTTACATCACAATTCACAAAGGGTCTCCTGCTTCCCCTTCTCCATGAATGAGGTGACTTTTGAAAACACTATTGGACTGAGTGTATTAAATGTCTTTACAGGTGAAAATGAGAATCCTAATATGATGCATACTACAAGCGAGCTCAGCAGGTTGTACATCTATGTACTTAGAATAGTCCAAGTCCTCATAGTTATATTAAAGTTAAAACTGCAAACACTTTCTTTATATTCTCATGCTGCTCAAGATAATTAACTAATATAAGCCAATTAGAGCTAAGTAAATATTTCAGCCTCTTAAATTATATTTTTTGAGTCTCTGGCTAAATGCTTATACAAGACAATCTACACGTCAGTGTCTGACTGTGAAGTTCTAACTCCAAATATTTATCAAGCTGAATTTGGATCGAGTGTGTACGTGGCATTTAGAACCAATTACGTTTGGTCGATGCATCTATTAGACTCGCTAATTCATATTTTAAAGAGTTATGTAACCCCAATTTACAAGTGCTTTGGTATTTTCTTGTTCATTTAATTCTTCGAAAAGTTAAAGAGTGATTCTATTCCAGGTAAGGACTTTGGTAAGGGAAAGCTTCAGGGCAGCATTAGAGGAGAATGATATTTTGATTTCACCTGCTGCACCATCAGCGGCATACAAAATTGGTATGCTTTTTTTAGCTTTTGCTTTTACTTCTACTGATGTATCTACTTTGCAGTTTTGCTTAAATATCTTTTTCTTTTCTTTCTTTTTATTCCGTAAGACCCTTCTATTGAAAGGCTACACTAACTCTGACTACGACACGTGACATTTACAGGTGAAAAGAAGAACGATCCATTGTCAATGTATGCTGGTGATATCATGACTGTAAGTAATTTTGTTGCTTCTTACATTCCTCTTGGTAATTTTTGAACTTTTTCCCCCTATAGTCGGTTGATGATGTAACTCGTTCATTTATTCTCTATTCTCTTCAGTTGATGATTCTTTTTATCATCAGCAGGTCAATGTCAACTTGGCTGGTCTTCCAGCATTAGTTCTCCCGTGTGGATTTGTTGATAGCAGCTCTGCGGCCCTTCCTGTTGGTATTCAGATGATTGGTGCTGCATTTGAAGAGGTGGGTCTCAGTACTCCGATTTTTCCTGTTGGTATTCAGATGATTGGTGCTGCATTTGAAGAGGTGGGTCTCAGTACTCCGATTTTTCCTGTTGGTATTCCAGTATTTAGTATAAAACAGGATATTTGAGCGTGGGGGTACTTTGACTTACTTAGACCTCTCTTTTGAGAAAAGTTAGAGAAAGGAGGAAAGAGGGACGGTACAGCTACTTAGCTTGAAGTTGGAATCGAGTTAAACATGAGCATCTTAAAAAGTAGTGCTGAATACATTCAGTTCCTTACGGGACTATAGGAAAGAATAATTGGAAACCATGTAGCATAACAACAACAACAATCAACAACAAACTCATTGTAATCCCACAAGTGGGGTCTGGGGAGGGTAGTGTGTACGTTGACCTTACCCCTACACCTTGAGAAGGCAGAGAGGCTGTTTCCGATAAACCCTCAGCTCAAGGAAAGATGAAATGGAAACTATGTAGCACAAATGTTCGAATTTAACACAAGCAAAACTGAATTAGTAGAAAATAATTAGAATTTAGAAATTAATGTGAACACCAAGTAGTTTTAGAGTTCAGTCAAGGATATCCTTGTCTATGTCCTGAAGAGATTTTCAAATCATTTGAACCTTGCCTCACATGGTTTCTAGTCTTATATGTCCTTTTCTTTTCCTTCTCTTCATGCTGTTCTTTGTTCATGCTCGCATGTGTTTGTGTGGGTGTGTGTTTATTTCCCGCTTTTACATGCAAACGTTCTTGATATGTTACTTACTAAATTTAGGTGTAAATTAGCTTGCATAAATTTAAAACACCTTCATGTACACATTTATTTCATATTCTTTATTTTCTGGAAAATTGTATTACTCCAACATTTCTGATGGTGGATAAGTGTGTCTATATCAGATACATATATAACTTGTTCTTATGTGCAAGAGCTCTTTCAGAGTTGGCCTTTCAATATCTTTAATTTTTATCTTTGTAAAGCTTCTTATCTTTATCATCATCTTCACTTTCATGAAATTCATGTCTTTTCATAAATCTTTGCATATATTGTGAATCAAGACTTTAGCAAGCAATCAAACTATAATGCAAATTCTTTTTTCAAGGTCTTTGATCTGTTAAGGGGACTTAAAAACAATTTTAAAGACATTACTTTTTTGCATGATTGACATTGTATAATCTTATGAAAATTACTAGTATAAAAAAACTTACACACTCATTTCCTTCCAATTTATGTGGTGAATTTGACTTTGCATAAAATTCAAGAAAAAAAGACTTTTAAAATTTATCGTCTTAAGTCTGTCATGACTATTTTGACAATGTAAAATATGTCACTGAAGATAAATGAAAATTTTAAAATTAAATTATTTTTAAATATAGAAAGTTTTTTATTTGTTTTGAACAGATTAATAAAGAAATATAGATAGCTATATAAAATAGAACAAAGAGAGTAAAAAGGAAACCAAACAGCCTCTGATTGTAATCTCTAATAAATAAAGGACATGTTAGTCATTAGATAATATATGCATAACTAGTATACAATATATATATATATATTAATTAACAAATATAAATATTTTTGGCCACGGCTAAATTTAAATGTGTAACTTTCCCATAAAAAACAGTCAGAATTGATAAAATGGACATTGATGTAATATCTTTAGCTAGTAAAGGGCATCTTAGTCATTATATCCAAAAGAATAGAACACAGCGGCCGATGTCGCGAATAGAACAACATATAAGAATTTATATAAGGGATTTCTAAACGAAGCTTCTGAAGAAGAAAAAAAGCCCGAAGTTTCTGCGAAGCTATCAAAATAAGAATTTATATTGAGAGAAAGAGAGAGGAGGAAAAATTTAAGGTACTAATGCCTTCTTATTTCAATTTAAAGTTAGTATTATTGGTGGTTTGAATTAAATTGTGTTAATTGGGACTTGGATATAGTGAAAATTCAACCAAGATATAGACTGAATTGAGAAAGTTAGGGTTTAGAATGTAGCAAAGTTTGAGGGTCTTGTGACTTAGATCACATGTTTGAGCCATGCGCAATGCCAACTAAGCCTGGTATTTACGTGGAAAATGGTAGAGGGGCGGGCGCATCATTCCGAGTTTCTAAAACTATTGTTGGTCATTAGGAAAAAACTTCGGGATTGCACCCGAGGGGTGTAGCATAGTGGTCAATGAAGCAGGTTGAGGCAAAAACTCTAAGTGATTTCTTTCCATTTGTCTAAACCTTTGGTGAACAGAATTACTTAGTACCTGTGTTGGTGGAAGGTATCACTAGCAAGTAGGATTTAGAATTGAAGGATTTGTAAACTAGGGTTACTTGAATTGGGAGGATTCATGGGAATTGTGAGATAGGAGAGACTTGGTGTTAGTAAATAATGACGAGATTGTAATACCTAAGAAATGAGTAGCCCTAAATTGATGAATGGGGAATGTCCTATCTCGCGCAACGGGCACATAGGAACTAACTAAATTTGACAGAATTGAACTGATTATGTTGGTAGTTCGTGAAGTTGATACATAGATTAGTTTTGTGATAATATAAGATAGTTGAGGAAGTGGAACACATTGTTCGTGGTGACACCTTAGGTATTTCGTCACGAGTAAAGTGAATGAAACCTTACCATGATTTGTATTTCTACTACTGATTACATGATTCATTCTTAGAAACCTACCAAGTATATGTATTTGTTTGCAGCATAGTATTTTATAGTTCTTATAGTTATTGTTTTCATGAAGGGGCTTTGATGATGCTCATCAATTACTGTACTGTCATTTAAATACTCTATACATGATATGATTTATGATCGTTATGGTTTTTAAAAAGGGTTTATAACCTCTTCCTGTTTTCCTATGTTTTTTGCGTATTGTATATTAGCATATTTTCTTACTTATCTCCTCTAAAGCTATTGTGGGTAAGTGCTATCTACTTATTAATTTAGTGAACTCACTCTTTTGCTATTATTGTTTTACATAGACATCTATTGACACCAACGAGAACCTCCCTAATTTCGGTTCCCCAAATTTCAGTACAGATGATCCCTGCATTAGTTCGTCTGGGCGAAGAGCGTTACTCATTTGTTATCATATTTTCTTTAAACTCTTAAAGTTGCTCCATTAGTTAATTGCATGAATATTTTGATTATCATAAGATGTATAAGTATGCCTTAATCTTTCTGTATTATTGTGTTACAAACATATGGTTAGTAGTAGTTGTGACTTATTTTAATTGGTGCTTGTTATGTTATATGATTTAGCTGAGACTGGAAAATTTCTATATTCCTAGAAATAAGGAAAGTTTGTCCATCTTTTAAAAAACGAAATCTCTGGTAACTAGCTTGTTCGGGGACCCTATTCCCTAAGGTCAGTCACGTCCTTAGATTGGGTCGTGACACACGATTTCTTAATTATTTTGAAATTAATGTGAAAATAATATACAAATTAATACAAATCATGACTTGTAATATGTAAAAGTAATTAATAATAGAGACAAAAAACTTGGGATTGAAGAAATAGTAAAAGCTGTTCAGTACTTAAAACCTAAATGGTATGCTACAGTTGTATCTATCCGCAGTTTAAGTTCCTAAGGGAAGTGTCATAGAATATTTACACTGGGGATGTATTGTTATCTTTTGTACTATTTTTACGATTTAGATTTTACATTTCTTTTCTTTAGCTGATCAGCTTAATTTATCAAGGTCTAAGACAGTAAAATCGGCTGGATCAAGAACGTAATCGAACACCAAAGACGTATGACAATGATGCATATGGCTCCTTATTTAGTAGATTTATGTGTTCAGAAGGCAATAGATAATGTTAGATTTCTTGGAGATGTTGGTGAAACTGAGTTTCATCTTCTTCAGCGTATTTTGCCTCACTGTTCTCTTGAGCAGTTGATGCATGTAGAGAATTTATCACAAGTAAGAAACTAAACTGCTTAGCTTCTTCCTCTTTTTCAACATTATACATCATGTTTGATTCAGTGCTCAACATCTGGCTTAATTCAGGGAAGAGATCTTAGTCCTGTAACTGATAAACTCTGGAAGAGATTTTACAAGATTCAGTTTGGTGAAAAAAGCATAAATCAGGTTGTCCAAGACATGAAGCTAAGGAATGGAACATTCAAATGGAAACAATTGTATGAGGTGATTTACCTTTTTTTCTTTCTTTGTCCCATTTTATGTGATACTATAATTTTCTAGGGAGTCAAACAGGTTTTTCTTTTAATATGATTGTTTCAAATTTCTTTTAGCAGTTTGAATTGTTAACTATAGTGCTTATAGTCCTTTTACTTAGTTCCCGCATATGTCAATTTTATTTTAAAAAACTTGAAACATTTATGACCGAATTCATATCGGAAGTTAGTGCTTTGATGCTCGTATTCCGAACTTGTTCACATAAAGCGGGACAGAGGGAGTATATCTTATGTTCCGTACTTCTTTATTATGAACTTCAAGTGATTATGTTACGAATTATGTGAAATGTTTCAGCCAGCACGAAAAATCAGTTATGGTTTTCTTGTTTTTCTTAATATATATAGTAACTTCATAATGCAGGCAAAGTTAGAGGAACTGGAAGAAACTCAACAGAAGTTATTCAAAAGAATTGGGCAGTACTTATACCTAAAGGAAGATGGTAAGTAAGCACTTTGCTTCTGTTTTTGATTGTTCTTTCATTTGCTCTCTTTCAAAAGCAGTAGAAATTGCCTCGTATTGTTGTCATCTTAAACTAGTATTATATGATAAGTCGATTTTATATCATTTAATTAGGTAATTTTCCTTAGTAAGTGGTAGGTCTTTGGCATGAGAATTGAGAGTGGTTTTCTAACAGAATCTTATCTACTTTCTGCAGGTACTGCAAGATTGCAATATCAGAAGAATTTTGGGAAAAGAAATCACAAGAAGAAAACAGAGGTGAAGCTCGGAACTGGACAGTTGTCAGTGTGTCGACGCCCTTCCTCATTGCTGCAGCACCAAGAAATCAACTAAGAATAGGTAGTGTAGATATTGGGAAGAGGAGATGGAGAGAGCAATGACAAGACAAAACTAGTGGCAAAAACGGAGTCAGGATTTGAAGTTTATGAGTTCTGTCGTTGCCACCTAACCCATTATTCATTTAGTTACTACTAAGTTTGCGATTAAATATTTATACATATTTAGTGAATTTCATAATACAAATACAGGGTTTAAACAAAAGCTACTGGATTCGTCCGAACCGGTACCTAATATTATAGCTTTGCCTTGACTAGTGGTTGAAGAAACCTTTATTCAAAAAACTATTGGACTGTAAAATTGTGGTGCAAGAGTACTAGTAACATTTTAAAACTTTGCACATGGTTAGTTCTAACCTGTATACTTTGGTTACCTCTTTTCAAGATTCTTGAGATAGGATTTATTTTCAGGGGGTCTCATGCTTAATCAAATATGTAAAGATCAAGTCTGAAAATCAAGAAAAGAGAACTGAAATCAACTCAGTCTTTGAGCTTCGAGTTTGTCCATGATTTCCACAAGTAGAGATGGCAATGGGACAGGGCAGTTGCTGTAAGAGAAGGACCGTGAAATAAGAGAATTTTTCGCTGATTGTATCCATCATTCAAATGTCTATATGTACAAGTAAATTGCTACAAAAGAAAATGTAAAAGAAAATCCTATTTACACTTGTACTATTCCTATTCATTATGTTGTTCCTGTATAACAGAATTATTCTTTTACTATGCGCACACATGTGCCAAGCACATGCTTGGATCTTTCTAGAATAATTCAATTATACAACTGCCTCTTCTCATATCTCACGGCTGAGAAATGAGGCTCATTTATTTTCTTCTAAGCTGAGATTGAGCCACGTAAGTGAGTGAAATTTCGAACATAAGAATGTGAACCTAGTTAACTCCGAAAATACTTTATCTTTGTTTCTCAATCCCTTTCATCTTTCTTCTTCATCAGAGAGATTAGCTTCCTTCTTCATAGAGTAAAATCGATCCAAAGCCTTATGGGGCTTTTCTATGTCAACACCCCCCTCAAGTTGGAGGGTAGAGAGAGTACCCCCAACTTGTTCATTATAGCTTGGTGAGAAGCCCTAGATAAGGGTTTGGTGAAGAGATCGGCAAGTTGTTGTGCCGATGGAACGAAAGATAGAGTGATGATCCCATAGAGGAACTGTTGGCGGATAAAGTGGCAATCTAACTCCACGTGCTTGGTCCGTTCATGAAAAACGAGATTTCGGGCTATATGAATAGCCGCTTGACTATCAGAGTAAATGGGCACTGATAGAGTCGCCGGTGTTGAGAGGTCAGCAAGGAGACGAACTAACCAGGTTATCTCAGCTGTGACACGCCGCATAGATCGATATTCTGCTTCGGCGGAGGAAAGAGATACAGAAACCTGCTTCTTGGATTTCCAAGCAATAGGGGCTCTACTAAGTGTGACAAAGAACCCACTCACAGATCTGTGAGAATCTTTGCAGGCTGCCCAGTCGGCATCGCAAAAGGCTAGTAAATCAAATGAGGGATTTGCTGATAGAAAAATTCCTTGAGAATGATCTGAATGTAGATACCTCAAACCACGCAGAGCTGCTGAGAAATATGGAAGTGTAGGTTGCTGTATGTACTGACTAAGGCATAAGACAACAAAAGAGAGATCTGGTCTGGTGTTTGTGAGGTAATTCAGCTTACCAACAAGGTAACAATAAACAGTTGGATTTTCCATTGGAGGCCCAAAGTCGGCATGAAGCTTTGCATATGGATCGAGCGGAGAAGACACTGCTGCCCCAGTACAATCAAACTCCTTCAACAAATCCAAGGTAAATTGTCTCTGGCTAATGATAAAACCTTATTTTTCCCTTAGAATTTCCATGCCTAGGAAATAATGAATGTCCCCTGGATGTTTGATTATGAGTTCTGTGCTAAGGAAGTCAGTGATTTGTGGGATTTTTCTGATATCATCTCCTGTTAAGAGTATATCGTCTACATAAACAGCAATGATAGATGATAGGGCACTTGTCTGTTTTTAGAACAAGAAATAATCATTCAATGAACTAGAATAACCCTTATAACTTAGTGCCCATGCAAGTCTAGCATACCATTGTCGAGAGTCTTGCTTCAAACCATAGAGTGATTTTCTCAAAAGGCAGACTTGGTCAGGTTTAGGAGGGGAAACACCTGCAGAAAATTTCATATAGACTTCCTCCTGCAGTTCCCCATACATAAATGCATTATTGACATCAAATTGTGAGACCTTCCACCCCTTTTTGACAACTACTGTTAACAAACATCAAATAGTGGTTATTTTAACCAAAGGGATAAAGTCTCAGAATACTCTATCCCTTCTCTTTGTATGTCCCCCCTGACCACTAGTCTTGCCTTCAACCTCTCTATAGTGCAATCAGAATTATGTTTCACCTTGTACACCCATTTACAAGGTAGAGCTCTTTTCCCTTGTGGCAAATCTACCACATCCCAAGTGTGGTTCAATTCAAGAGCTGTATTCTCTGCTTCCATGGCATGCTGCCATCCTGGGTGAGTGGAAGCTTGAGCAAAACTTCTAGGTTATGAGATAGTATACAAAGAATGGTAGAGCTTTTGATTGTTGAGTGATAATGCTCCAAAAGAAAAAATATTTGGCTGGGCAGGATGAGTGAAACAGGTAGAGGTGAGGTCTGAGAGGATGATGGTATTGCAGACATAGTCCTGTAAGTAGGCTGGTTGTTGACTGACCCTATCAGATTTTCTGATTCTTGGAGGTGGAGAAGGAATTAAAACATTAGGGCTAGGTGTGGAAGTGAGAGGAGAGGTAGGGCTTGGTGAAGAGTTGAGTGAAGGAGCTTGAAGATTTAGGTGAGAAATAAGGTCAGAAGTATGTTCAGATCTGTAGTTAATTGGTGTAGTAGGAGTGGGAATGCTTGAGGAAGGAGAATTGTTAGGTATGAAAGAATGACTTGAAGGAGATAAGTCTGGGGCTATGCTAGGTGGTGTGGGGACTGGTTGAGAGGTATCAGGTATGATAGGAGTAGAAGGAAAATAGGACAGAACATAGGGGATGGTAAAATGAACAAAGGAAAACTGATGCGTATGAAATTTAACATCTCTAGAGACAAACACCCTTCTGCTTGCTAGGTCCAAGACTTTATATCCCTTTTGATGTACAGCATATGCCAAGAAAACAAACTTGTTGCCCTGGGAGCAAACTTCCCTCTGTTGTGACCCAAAGTAGAGACATGACACAAATACCCAAAAGATCTGAGGTGCTCATAAGTAGGTGGCTTACCAAATAAAACCTTATAAGGTGTTTTCCCTTTCAAAGTTCTGGAGGGAAACCTATTGATCAAATAAGTAGAGGTTAAAATACATTCACCCCAGTATTGTAGAGGAACATTAGACTGGAACATCAAGGCTCTTGCAATTTCAAGAAGATGTCTATGTTTCCTTTCAACACTCCATTTTGCTGGGGTGTAGCAACACAAGAAGTTTCATGTAGGATTCCATGTTCAAGTAGAAAACTGGATTTTGTGTACCTTTGCCTAATTCCAGTGCATTGTCTGATCTTATCTTTTTCACTTTCTTGTTAAATTGTCTTTCTACCAAACTTGGAAATGATTTTAATACTGAAAAGGCATTGCTTTTTGAACTTAACAAGAAAGTCCAAGTTCCTCTATTGTAATCATCCACAATGGTTAATAAGTACTTGAACCCATTATATGTTGTGTTTTTGAAAGGACCCCAAGTGTCAAGATGAATTAGATAAAAAATACCACATGTTTTGATTTGACTGATAGGAAAAAAAATCCTAGTTTGTCTAGCTTGAGGATAGACAATGCAAACATAATCAAAATTTAAGGGAAAATGAATGAAAGTGAATTTCTTCATTACTGGAAAGGGTAAATGCCCAAGCCTTACATGCCAATCCTTTACATCTGAAGTAGCATTAGCATACACAACCTTTGAAAGAGAAACAAGACTAGAAACTAGAGTGGAATTGCTTCCTTTTGGAATTGAAACTACATTTTGATTAGATAGAAAACTAGACTTTATATTAGCTGGCTGGAGCAGGTACAGACCATCCCTTAATTTACCAAAACTTGTCCCCTCCTCATTAAAGGGACCTGCATCAGACATGCACTAGAAGTGAGATTTAAGGAACAACTGAATTGAGCATATAACTTATAAACAAACAATAAGTTATATCTGAAAGAGGGAACATAAAGAACTTTGTTAAGTGTCATATCAGGCTGGATGCAAACACTTCCAATATATATGACATGTAATTGAAAAGAATTAGGCAAGCTAATGTGTAAAGGGATGGGAAGTGGTGTCAAACTAAGGGAAGAATTTGAATCAAAACACATATGTTTTGAAGCTCCAGAATCAATTATCCAAGTCTTAGTGTTAAAAACACCAAGGCAAGTGCCATAATACTTAAGTATAGTACCAGCTACATCATTTGCATTGATTTCAGTTCTTGTATTTCCTGCTCCTCGAATCTGTACCTGTTTTATCAGATTCACTAGTTCTGAAACCTGCTCTTTACTAAAGAATTGATTCTGAATGTTCCAAGTTCCTCCATTGGGAGTGACTTCCATTTCTGCTCCTTTCTGACTTCCCATCACAACATTTTCTTTGACTGCTTCTTGATAGTTCCCTAATTTGGTAAACTGGAAATCTTCAGGAAATTCTATCAACCTATAGCAATTTGATCTAACATGTCATGTCCTCATACAGTGAGTACATCTTACATTAGGATTGAATTTGGTCTTTCTTCCCTTGGATTTCTGCTGTTGATTCCCATACTTTTGTGGTGGATTCCATCATTTCTGATTGTTGTTTTATGGTATCTTGTTCTGTGCATTTACCATGAATGTTGCTCCATCTGTTGGATAGTGGGGGCTGAGGTATACCTCCCTCTGACCTTCATCCTGTAGGAGTATTGAGTAAGCATAATCTATGCTAGGAAGTGGGTTCATCATTAGTATGTGTCCTCTTACCTGTGCATATGAGTCATTTAGACCCATGAGAAATTGAATGATCCTTTGATCTTCCAAGAACTTTGCCACCTTTTTCTTCCCTTCACATGTGCAATTGTGTGTACAACCCAAATGAGAGTTGAGAGAATCCAGTTCATCCCACAACCTTTTGAGTGTTGTGAAATATCCTGCTATGATGCTATTTCCTTATATTGACTTTGCAATTTCCTTTTGCAAATGATAAAATTTGGCACCATTTGATTGCCCAAACTTATGTTCAAGACTGTTCCAAAGGCTTTGTGCAGTCTTTGAATAAATCGCACTGTCTCCTATCTCTTTGGAGAGTGAGTTTAGCAACCAAGAGGTGATTATATCATTTGTTCTGCTCCATTGAGGATGGTCCTTAGATCCCAGATCTGGTTCAACACAAACACTATTGATGAAGCCAATCTTATTCTTGGCTGAGAAAGCAATCAAGACAGACCTTCTCCGGCCTGGATATCCTCTTCCATCAAAAGGTGCCATCAAAAGGTGAGTTCACCATAGTCATCCATGATGCATCAAATGAATGCAGAAAATAAGGATGATTTGTGTCTGCTATGACTCCAGTACTGGATGAACCAGCTAGAGAAAGAGTGGGTGAAGCTTCAGTTCCTGCCATGGCTGAAGGTTGAATAACAGGGAAGAAACAGAGAAGATGATTGATGGTTGATTGTAAATGGATCGAGCTACTGC